TGATAGTCTGTACTTCAGAGTCAGTGTAAAGGTGACATCAAGGACAAAGCCATGGCTAGCACTCTGATAAGCTCAGTATAATTTTTATTAGTATAACAATAAATTACTGTGTGCTTAAAAAGTTATGTTTTTTACAATTTTAAATATCTGTTTAAATTAGTAGCAAAACATAATAAAAGTACATGCAGGTTACTGTTACAAAAACTGCTTGTCAATCAAAAGGCCAAAATTCAATGATAAATATACTATACAGATTTATAGTACAAATTACTGAATACAATAATAACTGTTGTTCACAAAGTAAACTATCATGTGATCGAACAGAGATGGCTACAAATGATACAACATATGGTGGTAAGTTATAGCTGTAAATTTGTTGATGGAATAAGTCACTCAGGTTTATTGTACTAATACTGATAGTGGGTGCCAAGGAGACATTGCAAGGGCATTGGGTTTGAAGTTGCATCTAAATTAAACTATGACACTTCAGAGTCATGAAAGACAAAGCCATGGCTGGTATTAACATAAACAAAATTGTATTAGATGATTATCTTTGTACTTCAAGAAAGATTTCAATAAGCTGAGTAATTTAAATAATAATAGATGACAAAAATTTAAATCATAAATGTTATTATAGTTCTAGTTTGTGAATAAAAGCCACAACATGCTTGAGAGTAACATACTACATGTATTGTACTGTTGTCATCAATTTGCAAAAAACCAGTAAAGACAAGTGTTGGAAGATTTTTGCATTCACCTTACCAGCATTTCCAATCACAGTGAATGGCCTTCAACTAAAATCAGGATATAAAATGATATCTACTCGTGGTTAACAAAATAAACTATCATGTGATCTAAAAATGGCTACTGCTGATGGGTGGACATATGGTGGTTATAGCTATAAGTTTGTCGATCGTTATCTTCCTGATGAGTATCTGTGCCATATCTGTATGTTAGTAGCACGAGATCCTCAACAAGTTACCTGCTGCTACAAGATATACTGTAAGAGCTGTCTGGATACACTAAAGAAAAAGGGTGAAGGGTTTATCTGCCCAACTTGTCGTAGCTCACTAGAAGGAAAGTACTTTAAAGATGGAAGAGTAGAAAGGGGAATAAAGTCACTTAAGGTTTATTGCACTAACACTGATAGTAGGTGCCAATGGATAGGGACTATTAAGGATATTGAGACTCATCTTGAGACCTGCCCTAAAGCTATCATACCATGTGAATACAATACTGTTGGATGTGATAAAGGAATGAAGAGAGAAGAACAAGAGAAGCACAATGAAGAATCAATAACGGCACACCTACAACTGACAAAGGAGCAACTAGAAGTAACAAACGATCAGCTGGAATTGACAATTGAACAGCTACAGGTAACAAATGAACACCTACAACTGACTGACCAACAATTGAAAGTGGCTATAAAGACAATACAATCTCTAAAAGCAAAAGTACAAGAGCACGAAAATCTATTGACGACATCAAGTGAAGTGCTTAAACTCAGCCAATTTTCACAAAGGAAAGAAGGATGGCATAGTCGAGGCTTCTACACGTCACCAGGAGGATACAAGATGTCACTACGTGTCTATCCTAATGGTATTGGTATTGGTAAAGGTACACACTTCTCTTGCTTTACATATCTCATGGCAGGAGAATATGATGATATATTGGAGTGGCCATTTCAAGGAGAAATTACTATAGAACTACTGAATCAACTGGAGGATAAGAATCATGTAAAGGTAGTTTTTCATTATAATAAAGCAACACCAGATAGTTGTAAAAAAAGAGTAAGTCAAGGAGGACAGAGCGGAGGATGGGGTGTTCAAAAATTCATACAACAAACTTGTTATAGATTACCTAATAACTGTCGATATATCAAAGATGACAGTCTGTACTTCAGAGTCAGTGTAAAGGCTACATCAAAGACAAAACCATGGCTACATTAACAAGAACTAACAATAGCTAACTGAACATAATTAAGTACATAATTTAATTTTGCAAGTTAAATAGGCTCTGTCAGTTAAAAACAAAATACAAGCCATGCTTGATGCCCATGATTGATGCAAGCCCATGCAAGTTGTAACTGCTAAAGAAATGGTTAATTTTGCTATGTTAGAGAATAGAGAGCAACTTCATTTTCACGCTGGTGTAACCTCGTATGGCCTTACCTTACATTAATTTTGCAGTGTAAATCCACCTATAGTAATATATAATAAAACAGTAAAGCAAACATCATAAGCAGTAATATTCGTGTGTTGTAGCAGGTTGCTGTTTGTGAGACACTTGATCGTTGAGGATCACTTGCCACCCTATGTGCATTGTGCACAGATGTGGCATAAATCAGAAGGATTGCCATCAACAAATTTTGTAGCTGTAACCACACGTTCCATCAGTTAAACCTAGCTGTCTATTCTGGTGTCCAGATTATAGGTGTCCTTAGTTTAGACTGAGCAGGTTTGACTGTAGTACTTAAGTTTCTTGTTACTTAATTTTTTATGAATTTTCAAAAGTTGCTCTGTCAAAAATGGCTAGAAAAAAAATTCATTACATGTACTGGGGGTATTTTGTTCAAATGGGTAGAAAAGAATTTATAATACATTTTCCGATGCACATACATGTACATGTTTTTAGGTTGTACAGAAAATTTGAGCTGATTTCAATCAAAATTTGTTTTTTTTTATGAACATTAAAGTTGCTCCAAAAGAGCCATTATGCTATTGCAGCTCGTGAAGAATGATGTTTAACTCACTTAACATATTTTACCTGCTGCCACTACTCTACAATATAGCTTTTACAGTAAGACCTGTCTGGATACACTAACCAATAATTTTGTTGTACCTAAAAGTACCTTTTAGATATGGGTAAAAAATATTGCGATTTTAACTCTCAGGAGGAGCTTACGACAGAGTTGTAATGCAGAAAATTAGGAGTTAATTTAATAATTTTAAAATTAATAGTGTGGTTAACAAAATAAACTATCATGTGATCTGTAAAATGGCTACTGCTGATGGGTGGACATATGGTGGTTATAGCTATAAGTTTGTTGATGGCAATCCCCCAGATGAGTATCGATGCCACATCTGTAGATTGGTAGCACGGGATCCTCAACAAGTTACCTGCTGCTACAATATATACTGTAAGAGCTGTCTGGATATACTAAAGAGGAAGGGCCAAGGGTTTATCTGCCCAACTTGTCGTAGCTCACT